GGGCAAGGGTGGGCAGCGGGGGGCCGGGCAGTGGTGGGCAGTGGGAGGCCGGGCAGGCAGCTCCCTCCAGGCAGGGTGGGGGCAAGGGTGGGATTGGGTGGTGGGAGCAGGGTGCAGCAGGTGGGGACCCAGGGGACAGATGCCAGCCGATGACCTCCGTGCTCAGGGTGGGTGGGAAGGGCTCTGGGTGCAGCTGCACCGAGGCCCCAGGCCCTCCTGGATGCCCTCAGCTGCGGCCCTGCGGCTGTCCCCCTGTGCCCGTTGTCCAGTGGCTGCACCCTTCTTGCGGTGGCCTCTCCCCACACAAGCCCCCAGGGCAGGACAACAAGAGGACCCTGCCCCTAGGAGCCTTCCTGCCACGGCCTCCCCACGAACCTCGCAAGAGCGGCCGACTGCAGCCTCGTCTCCTGGCCCCGCCAAGGCTGTAAGCAGGGACAGACACCATGTTTGGGCCCTGACCTCCAGGGAAGAACTGACTACCCTGTGCCCGGGAGGTTGGCAGGTGGAGGTGGGGAGCTGGGCCCTGGGGATGGCAGCCGGCGAGGCGTTGCCGTCCCCATCCCCAGGGCCAGTGGAGACACCCCAAGGCCGGGCTCATCCTCTGGAGGTGACCGGCGGGTGGCCTGCGCGGCAGCTGAGAGCTGACTGTTAGCTGGGGGCCACCAGGGCCAGTGCGCTACGGGAGGCCCGTGGGGCACAGGCAGAGGGGAGGCCAGGGCTGGCTGGAGGGGTCCCCAGTGAGCGGAGCACTCTGCAGAGCCAGGGGGGAGGGAGGTGGGTGGACCTTGGCAGCAGTGGCCCCTCCCTGGGTCAGCCCCTGGTCATGAGCTCCAGGCCGTGGGGCCGGCAGGAGCAGAGCCGCCTTGGCTTTGGGGGTTCTGGCTGGAGGCAGCGGGCTCCCCACCGTGGGGAAAGAGGAGGTGCCGGGTGCCCTGTGGGGCCACCAGGCCACCAGGAGGTGGGAGAGGGGCTGGCGCTCAGCAGCAGTGCCCTGCATGTACAGGACCCTCTGTGGCAGGCGTCCAGGGAGGCTCCCAGATACGATCTGCTGCCCAGGCAGGGGGGATGTGGGCAGGGGCCCTGGGAGGCCTCCGCTGGGCCCGGCCTGCTCCTGGGCACCGGACAGCCCAGGGGAAACGCGGCTCAGGGGTCCCCGCTCTCACCCTCCGGGCAGGGCCGTGGTCTCCCTTCTTCTGCAGAGGGCAGCGGAGGCTGGGGAGGGTGAGCTGGGCCTGGGTGCGAGTCAGGGGAACCGGGGCCTGTCCCTGGCCACCTGCCCTGGCTGGGTTCCCTCAGGCACCCGTCCCTGCCACGCCAAGGGCAGCCATGTGCCCGACCGGCAGCTGGCTCTGGTTCTGGTTCTGCCCGGCTGAGCCTCTTCCCTCCCTGCCCGGAAACCTCCATGACTCCCACAGCCCTGAGCCACTCAGCATCTGTGACCTTCCCCCCCCCGGGGTGTCACGGCCCTCCAGAGAGGTCCCCTCCAGGAAGACCCTATTGAAATCACCAGAAGAGCTGGCCACGTGTGTGGCCAGGCTGGGCTCTGCGTGGGCCGTCCTCCTGGCCCATACGGAGGAGACCGCAGGCTGCCAGGTTGGAGACTGAGTGTCAGGCAGGCTCCTGGTTCTAACTCCTGCCTGGACCAGGTGCTGGCCACAGTAGGACCAGCAGAGGCCACGCAGTGTCCCGGGTGGCCATGCTGACCAGGGGAGCCCTGAGGGCAATACCTGGGCCAGGAGGGTAGGGGACCCCTGTGCTTCCCAGAAGTTCCCGTCCCCCAGGTCCTGTGGGGCCTCCTGCAGCTGTGCCTGGGTGCTGGCTGTCCCCGGGGGTCCCCACACTCCCCATGTGCATGCCCAGGCTGGACTCCGTTTCTCCCCAGACCATGCCCCTGGTTCTGCCTCTCCACAGACGGACACCGGGCCAGCTCTGGAGTCCCTGTCCCTGTTCCCCGTGTCCAGCACAGCCCTCCACATTCCTCCTGCCTGGATCCCTCCTCCCTCCCCACCCTGCTGGCCCTTCCCAACACCACTGATGGCACTGGCCACGCCCCATCCAGCCCAGGGGGCAGCCAGGGCCACCGAGGGCCCCCCAGCTCTGCCACCTTCCTGACTTTACCCTCACCCTGGTCCTCTCTCTGGTCCCAGGACCCCTACCCATCTTTCAGACCTAAGTTCAAGGTCACCTCCCTCCCCTAGAGAGTGGGACAGGGTCATGGCCACTCTCCTGGGATGGTGATGGCCAGGCGTCTGGGGGCGGAGGAGCCAGGTTCTGGTACCCTCTCGCAGCCCCAGCGGGGAACACCTGCTGTCCCCATGGCTGGGGCTGTGCTCCTGGCTCGCCCGGCACATCTGCCTCCAGTGGCCTCCCAGGATGAGTGACAGCCAGGCAGAACCACACCCAGGCCAGCTCCCTGGGGACAAGGGGCCTGCTGATGTGGCCCAAGGTGCGGGTGCAGGTTCTGCTCTGCCACTCTGTCCCCAGGCTTCCAGGACAGACCTGACCTCTGCCTGGGGGGCCTTCTTGTGAGTATCCTGGGCAGGGTGCCTGCTGTCCCACTGCCCTCTGGAAGCCAGGGCTCATGCCCCCGTGGTCTGTCCCTTCTCCCCAGGGCTCTGCAGTGGCTCAGGGGGTAAATGTGCATCCTGGTGGACAGTGTAGGAGATCCTGGGGCATCTGGGCTCTTAAAAGGCCACAGAGACTCTGGTGGTCGCAGGGAGCCGGCTCACCTACCCCTGGGGGCCACCAGCCAGCTCCCAGGCCTCCTGGTCACCTCCAGCCTCCTGGTCTCCATTGTCCAGGAGACTTGGAGTCCGGAGGGTATGGGGAGCCTGGAGGAGAAGTTGTTCCTGGACATTCTTGCTTTGGTCCCATCCCCCAGCTGAACGGTCACGTTCTCCCCAGGATGGGGACAAAGCCTGCCTGATCTTCAGGCTGGGCTGATGGGGCAGTCACATGAGTAGCCTGCAGGGGGCAGAATTGGGACGGGTACCGAGTCTTGCCGCCCCTGCAGGAACTATCCAGAGGGGGCTGGTGGGGGTGGGCAGCTGGGAGTGTCCAGCCCGGGAGGGGCATTTTTGGCGTCTCAGTGGGGACTGGGAGACAGGACTGGGGTAGTGTGGAGGGAGTAAAAAGGGATGGGTGTCCTGAGCTGGGGGCTGCAGATGGTGGTCATGGTCCCAGGGAAGCTCTGAGCTCAGGGAGCCCTGCTGAAAGTGGGGAGAGGGTCTGGGGTCTGTGCGAGTCGGTGCACGTGGACAGGGCTGAGCCCCGGGCTGAGCCGGGCTGTGCTGGCGTGGGGAACAGGGCCCCCCGGCCTGTCAGGCTGAGCCCTGGGCCCCGGAGCCAGAGCAGACGCAGGAAATGGCTGATTGCATTCAGCTCAGGAACACCAAATCCCTCGCAGCTGCGCTTGGCGGGGCCTGGCCCCGGGTGGGGCGGCCAGAGTCCTGACAGCTCTGCAGAGCGTGCCAAGGGTCTGGGCCGCGGGCCGGGGGCGCCTTTCCCAGGCCAGAGGCCCCCACCCCACCCCAGGAGAGCGGCCCCTCTCAGTTCCCAGAACGGAGCCCAGCTGTGGAAGAGCAGGGGTGAGGTCATGGGGAGGGGGCCGCATGACTCACATCCTGGGGCAGGCGGGAAGGGAGGAGGCAGGGAAAGGGGCCCAGAGGCCTCCTTGTCCTTGGCTGCTGGGTCAGGAGTGGGGGCTGGTGGGACTTCTCCCTGCACCTTCCCTGTCCCCCAAGCCCCTGTCCAAGGAGGGCTAAGTGGGGGTGCCCCTCGGAGGAGCCACCATGTTCCCAGAAAACACACCTTGGCCTCCCCCTAGGCCCTGCTGACTGTTGTCTGGGTGATGTGCAGGAAAACAGTCAATAGTGAGGTGAGGGCACCCCAGAAGGAGCCTGGGAGGGGGCAGGACCTGCCGTTCCCAGGCCCTGCTGCTACGTCCTGTGTGTACAGGCTCGGGGACGTCCATGTGTGTGCCAGGGTCGTGTGGGGTGCCCACTGGGCACAGGAGAGCCAGTGTGTGCACGTCCACCCTGCTGGGTGGGAGCTGGGAGCAGCTTCATGTGCTCACGTGGCTCTGCCCGTGGGCCCCGTGGGGCCCTGTGGCCTTGGGTCGGTACCCCGGGGGTTTGCACCCCTGTCTTTGTGCTTTTGGAGGTTCTTGGCTTGATGGAGGGGTCCGAGGAGCAAGACTGAGCCTGGTCCCACTCAGAGAGCACAAGGGAGCAGGGCCAGCCCCAAGAGGAAGCTGAGGCTCTGCCTGGGGACCAAGGCCCACATGCCCACTTGGGCACAAGCGTCCTGTCCACACACGCTCCAGAACCTCCCTCCACGTGCGTGTGCAGACTTCAAGGCACACCCGGCCTGTGCCCACAGAGACCCAGAGGTGGGAGCAGCTCACCCTGCATGGGCTTTCCCAGGGGCTGCCCGGGCAAGGCAGGGACACCCCTACCTGCCCACTCTGGCTGTCCACTGGGAGACGGCTGGTGTGCATGGGTGCTAGCAGGAACCCCAAGAGCAAGGAGCCCCCCCTCCCTGGCCGGCAGAGGCCGCAGAGCAGGAGGCTGGCCTCTCTGCGGGTGATGGGAGCCAGGTGTGGGGAGCTGAGGGCTGCAGTTGGAGGCCCTGTGAAGATGAGGCAGGCAGCTGGCCGAGGGAGGTGCAGTCCCATGTGGCTGGGGGGGCCGTGCTGGAGCCTGAGGAGAGGCCTGGCTTTCGTCTGACAGGCTTAGGGGAGACCTGGGGAGATTAGATCATGTGCTGGCAGGGCTGCCTGGCCAGGGGACGGAGGCCCAGAGGGGAGCGGGCTGTGGGGTCATGCGGCGGACACCGGCCGGGAAGGACTGAGACCCCGGCAGAGAGATGCAGGCCTGTACCAGCTCTGGCCTGGGCTCCTTCCCTGGTGGAGGGGGCAGTGAGCCCTGTAGATGCAGAGACCCTGGAGGCCCCCCAGCTCCAGGTGAGCTGGGGGTCGGCTGGGATGGCCGAGCTGTGGTGCCTGCTGGACAGCAGTGGCTAGAGAGCTATGGGCCAGGGCTCCAGATCCCCAGGCCAGCCTTGTGCCTTCCTCTGTTTGTTCCCAACCCTGCTGTGAGGGACTCTTCTGAGAAGCCTGGGGTCAGGGCACTCTGAGGGCAGCTGACCAGCCCAGAGACTGGGGCTTCCACCTTGAACCAGCCCAGAGACTCCACAGAGGACTCTGAGCTGAGGGTGGGGTGCCCGTCAGGGATCCCAGCTGTGGACTGGACACATGCTCAGTGGACGTGTGAAGGGGCTGAGGCTGGACAGGACCACATGCTGGGATGCTGACGCAGGCCTCCTACTGTGACTTGGTGCCAGGGCCACCTCGTCCTGACACTCGGTGCTGAGCAGGAAGGCCTGCCCAAGTCAGGTGGGGTGAGGGTGGCTGGCTGGCTGGCCACCTGGTGTGCTGCTGTCCAAGGTGTGTGACCACAAGTGGCCATGGCCATGACCCCCAGCCATCTCTTCCCAAGCCCTGGTGCTCTAGGTCCTGGTCCAGTTGGGCCTAGGGAGGCAGGCAAGTAGGAAGGGACACCTGGACATTGCAGCCCCTCCATCCCCAGGAGAGCAGTACATGGGTGCCCAGATGCATGGGGCCCAGGGCCTCCACCTGGACCAGAGGCAACTTCCTGGCTTGGTGCATGGCCTCTATTTTAAAGATGGGAAAACTGAGGCTGAGAGAACTGGTCCAGGGCTGTCCACCGCTCTTACCAGGTGACACCTTGTCTCCGCCATGGCGTGACTGTCCCTCTGTGTATCCCTTCAGGCTCACCACTCAGTGGAGTGTGGAGGATGAAGAGGAAGTGGCCCGGGAGCAGCGCCGGCGGGAGCGGGAGAGGATGAAGCAGGACCAGGATGAGGGTGGCCCAGACCCAGACCAGTCGGAGCAGGAGGCTCTGTAAGCCCCCTGGCCCTTGAGCCCTGGGTGCTGTGGCCCAGGGCCTGGGTGCAGGGTCAGGCCCTGGGCTTTGAGGTCCCAGGGTAGGACGACTTAGAGCAAGGCAGTGCTCTTAGGGCAAGGGTGGTCAGCAGCCTTGGGTGACCCCATCTGCCAGATGCCTGCCTGGCCAGAGGGTGCGCAGAGCCACGAAAGGCCGCCCCTCCCAGCCAGGCTCCTGGGGTCTGACTCAGGCTCTGGACACTCTGCCTGGTCCCAGCCCTCGCTTGGACCGGTGCTGACCCCAGCCCCGGCCCTGGCCCCCGAGCCCCCCGCCCAAGTTCCCGCTGCCGGTGACTCACAGAGGCCACGTCCAAGTTGGCGGCCACAGGCCTGCTCGTTTCCTCCCCGGGCCCAGGAGGCCTCCGCGGCTGGGCTGGGCTGTTTCTCCAATAATGCTCCCCTTCCTCCTGGCCCTGTTCTGTTCCATTTTCTCCGAGTCAGCAGCTTAGGGCGGGGTGGGGTGCTGCAGCGGTCATGGTCCCTCGGCCAGGTCTCTCAGTCACCCTGAAGCCTGAGAATCCCTTCTAGCCCCCAGCCCCTGCTTCTGCAGAGCTCCCCTTGTTATACTGGAGAGTCTGTGAGGACAGCTCAGGGCAGGGAGGCACAGTCCTGCTCCAGGGGTGCCCTAGGCCCATAGGGAGGCCCAGCCCTGTTCCAGGGGAGCCCTAGGCCCATGGGGGAGGCCCAGCCCTGCTCCAGGAGAGACCTAGGCCCATGGGGGAGGCCCAGCCCTGTTCCAGGGGAGACCTAGGCCCATGGGGGAGGCACAGCCCTGCTCCAGGGGAGACCTAGGCCCATGGGGGAGTCACAGCCCTGTTCCAGGGCAGCCCTAGGCCCATGGGGGAGGCCCAGCCCTGTTCCAGGGGTGCCCTAGGCCCATGGGGGAGGCACAGCCCTGCTTCAGGGGAGTCCTAGGCCCATGGGGGAGGCCCAGCCCTGTTCCAGGGGAGACCTAGGCCCATGGGGGAGGCCCAGCCCTGTTCCAGGGGAGCTCTAGGCCCATGGGGAGGCCCAGCCCTGTTCCAGGG